GCTCAGTATTTGTAAACAGCAATGGATCATGCCCAGTATTTCCTAGCTGAACCACAGACAAATACAATGATCTAATACATATCGATTTTACAGAAGATAATGTTGAAAAAGCACTATGCAATCTAAAACCATCTCTGTCTATTGGACCGGAGGGAATATGTGCCTACTTCTTAAAAAAGCTATCCACTGCCATAGCCAAACCTCTAAGCATAATCTTTGAAAAATCTTTCAGGACCAGCTCCTTGCCTAACCTATGGTCACAAGCCACAGTCATCCCCATCTTCAAAAAGGGAGACCCAAGCCTAGTTGAAAATTACAGGCCAATCTCCTTATGCTGCGTCACCTGTAAAGTCATGGAATCAATTATTAACCAATCCATTATCCTCCACTTAGAGACAAATAACCTACTCTCCAATAAACAATTTGGTTTCAGGAAAAAACTATCCTGTAATCTGCAACTCTTACACTGCAAAAACATATGGACTACACAACTCGATCAGGGCAAAGCAATAGACGCAATCTACATAGACTTCTGTAAAGCCTTTGATTCAGTGGTACACGACAAACTACTCCTAAAACTAAAATCTTATGGTATCTCTGGACACCTGCATAACTGGATAGAAGCATTCCTGTCAAACAGACAACAAATGGTCAAAATTGGGAGTGTCCTATCAAATTCTGTACCTGTCACTACTGGTGTCCCCCAAGGCAGTGTTCTAGGACCAACTCTCTTCATACTCTACATAAATGACCTCTGTGATCATATTAAGAGCAACTGCATTCTCTTCGCTGATGATGTAAAGCTGTTCAATACCACAGACAATACTGCTACCCTACAAAAAGATCTTGACTATGTATCAGAATGGTCAAATAAATGGCAACTTCAAATCTCAACAAATAAATGCTCTGTCTTACATATTGGCAAAAAAATCAGAAAATAAAATACAAGTTGAATAGTCAAGACCTTATTGATGATCCAAGCTCTGTAAAGGACCTTGGAATACTCACCTCTAATGATCTAAGTGCTAGAGCCCACTGCAACTACATAGCCAAAAAGGCATTAAGAGTTGTTAACCTAATCCTACGTAGCTTTTTCTCTGGTAATATCACATTACTAACTAGAGCATACAAAACATTTGCTAGACCAATACTTAAATATAGCTCATTGGTCTGGAACCCACATTACGTATCTGATATTAGCACAGTTGAGAAAGTCCAGAAATATTTCACAAGAAGAGTTCTCCACTCCTCTACTCATTGTAGAATACCTTTTGCCACCAGACTTGAAATACTAGCCCTAGAAAACCTTGAATTACGCCGTCTTTGGTCTGATCTAAGTATGGTATATAAAATCATACATTGCAATGTCCTACCTGTCAATGAATACTTCAGCTTCAACCATAGCAACACAAGAGCATACAATAGATACAAATTCAAGGTTAATCGCACCAAACTTGATTGCAGGAATATAGACTTCAGCAACAGAGCGGTCAATGTCTGGAATACTCTACCTGACTCTGTAGTTTCTTCCCCAAACCCCAAAAACTTTAACCTTAGACTTTCTACTATTGACCTCACCCCTTTCCTAAGAGGTCTGTAGGAGGCATGCATAAGTGCACCAACATGCCTACCATCCCTGTCCTATAGTTTCTTTTATTTTTCTTATATGTACCCATTTCATGTATTCATAACTATGTATATACTTATAGCTATTATCTTGTAAGCAATTGACAAATCAAATAAATAAAATAAAATAAATGAATTCTTGGAGTTTTGTGTGCCGTTGCCGATGTTTGGAGTTTCCTGGACTTCTTGCTTTATTTCTTGCTTCCTGGATTAATTGCCGTGTTCCTTTGCTTCCTGGACTCACTGACTTATTCCCTTGCCCCGTTGGATTTCTTACTTTGCAGCCATTGTGCTCATAGCACTTTGATGGACTACTTGCAGCCAGAGACTGCTGGAGGTGTGTGTGTTTGTATGTGAGAGAGAGAAGGAGGGAGGGAAGGAAGGAGGGAAGGAAGGAGGGAGGGAGAGAGATCGAGAGATCACTTTGCTCTAGGACTTGCCATAAATGTGGGAGCGTTTGGGGGAAAGTTGGATCAACAAAGGGGTGATTTGAGCTATCAGCTGACTGTGTTGCCTATGTGCCTTGGCCCAGATCATCACACACAAGTTCTCCTTTCCCAGAGTTTTGATGCTATTAATCTGGATTGTTTGCTTGGCCCCATCTCTGGCTTCAGTACCTGTCATGCCTTGCAGATATGGCAGTCACATCTGGCAGAAGGCAGAAGCCCAGGGATTCTTCCCATGGGACAGGGGTGTTACCCACAGGGCAGCCATACAGAGCCCTCCTTTGCCACTTACTCGCAGGTGTTCCCTTCGTCTGGCGAAGCGCCTTCAGGGGCCAGCTTCTCCTGCAACATGGCAAGGACCAGGATTGGCAAGAGCTGCCATCCCATCTCCTGGTAGGCTCAGGTGCTGCTTCTTCTCTTGCATCTTCCTAGAACCCGTGACATCATAAAACATAGGTTTCCTGGTTCTCTCTCTCCTCAGCAACCCAGCTGGACATCAATGCCCAACCTGGGACTCGGAGGCAAGTGGGCGATTGGACAAGCAAGGCCAGGGAGAACCACCAGGGAAACCTGGGGAAATGAGGACATCTCAGCCAGCCAGAGGGCTAAGGGTGCCCATGTTAGGTGCAAAAGACCAGGCCCACACACTACGGTTCAATTTAACTGATTTATTGCTAAACGCCTTTGTGCAAGAATCTTCTCAACCACATTGGCACCTGGTTAGAATTAAATAAAGATCAATGGCAGTCAAGAGCAGTTGGATTTAGTTCATTGGTGACTATGTAGTGATTCTAGGCTGATGCCTCTTTTCATCGCTCCCCCTGGTTCCGCCAGTCCTTCTCCAGCAGTCTAGCCATATCCCATTTTTCTTTAGAAAAGTTTTTTTTTTTAAAGCAGTCAGCCCATTAAATCCAATGAGTCACGCTCGCATCTGCTCCCTGGAGACTGTAGATTTGAGAAAGGGAAGTGAGACAGGATTTGAAGAGCACAAGTACATATCCTCCCTTCACCCCACAATCTCTCACCCTTGAATTCCCCAAATAAATCTGGTTTGTAAAAAAGAATTCAGGCCTACCCATTTCCCAAATCAGAATCTATAGTGCTGAATTTTGAGTTTTATCAGCCTTCCAGCGAAGGTTATCTGACAGCATTCGGGAAGAAAAGTAGTCCAATGAAGCAAGTAAAATATTTTATTTAGAATATGTTTTGCTTACCCACACAAAGTGAGCATTCGCTAAGCATTTTGTTAGTGTACTTTAAAGTTAGGATTGCAAAATATATCCATCTCTGCTGCACCCTCACAACGCTTTAAAGCAGTGTCTTCCAAACTTAGCAACTTTAAAATATGTAGACTTCAACTCCCAGAATTGCTGGCTGGGGAATTCTGGGAGCTGAAGTCCACATATCTGAAAGTTGCCAAGGTTGAGGAACACTGCTTTAAAGCAATGTAGTGCAATCAACCTGAGAGCTACAGAATAACAGACTTGGAAGGGACCTTGGAGGTCTTCTAGTCCAACCCTCTGCTCAGGCAGGAAACCCTGTGCTATTTCAGACAAATGGTTGTCCAATCACTTCTTGAAAACTTCCAATGTTGGAGCACCCACAACTTCTAGAGGCAAGTTATTCCAATGATCAATTGTTCTCACTGTCAGGAAATCTCAGCTATGTTAACTATAATTCCAAAGATTGCCTTAAAAAGGAAGGTGTGATTTTGTTATTTTAATTGGAGGATTACAGGGAAGCAGGGCAAGAACCACGGGCTCCAACTATTGTTTGGAGCAGGGGGTCGTCAAACGTGACAGCTTTAAGACTTGTGGGCTTCAACTCCCAGCATTCCTCCTCCAGTCATGTTAGCTCAGGAATTCTGGGAGTTGGAAGTCCACAAGTCTTAAACTGGCCAAGTTTGGAGACCCTTGATCTATTCTATCTATCTATCTGTCTATCTATCTATTCTTTCTCTCTCTCCCTCTCTCTCTATTCCACCTCTTTATCTATCTATTCTATCTATCTATTCTATCTTTCTCTCCTTCTCCCTCTATCTATCTATTCTACCTCTCTTTCTCTATCTATCTATTCCAGGGGTCTCCAAATGTGGCAGCTTTAAGACTTGTGGGCTTCAACTCCCAGCATTCCTCCTCCTCCAGTCATGTTAGCTCAGGAATTCTAGGAGTTGGAAGTCCACAAGTCTTAAAGTGGCCAAGGTTGAAGACTCTTGGATTAGGGCTTCTCTAAGAGGGACTCCAATTTTGACCGGAATGGACTTTCCTGATTCTGGCTCCAGACAGCATTCAGGTCAATGCTAACGAAGCACAATCTAGATCAGTCTGGATGTCCACTGCGTTCTGGAGAAGCTCAGTGGAACCTCGGACTTTCCTCTGCCTGCGATTTGTAACTCAGTCACCTGATTGGGGATGGTGAAAAATAATATTCACATGTGTTTGATTATTGATTGGGCGTGGTGACTAAGAACCAGTTTGAGATTCATGAAAAGCCGCCTTAGGTGCAATGGGGTAAGAACAAATATCCAAGTCCTTAAGATGGTGGCAATGATTAGGAGCAGGGGTGGGCTGCGGATTTTTTAACAATCGGTTCTCTGCCCTAATGACTGGCTGGGTGGGCGTGGCTGGGTGGTCATGTGACTGGGTGGGTGATGTCACTCATCACACCCAGCCCCGCCTCCCGGCCACTTGCTTCAAAAGCAAAGGTAGGATTCAGCCAGCTGGGACTAATCCTAATACTGGCTGGCTTTGCCCCACCCATTTTTGGCCTGTTTTTGACTATTTTGGGGGCCATTTTCAGGCTGTTTTTAGCCCACTTTCAGGCCATTTTTGGACCATTTTCAGTCCATTTTTCAGGCCATTGTCAAGCTGTTTTCAGGCCGATTTTTGGACTATTTTTCAGACTGTTTTTGGCCCAAAATGACCCAAAACAGCCTGAAAAATTGCCGAAAAACAGACTGAAAAACAATCCCAGCGATGGGATTTGCCACTTCACTGAACTGCGCAGAATTTTAACTACCAGTTTGTAACAACCGGTGTGAACCAGCATCAGCCCACCTCCGATTAGGAGCAACCCAGAAACAGCACCCAGAGAGTTTGCAAATTGCCCCGAACTGCGCATTAGGGAAGCCCTTGCAGACAACGTGGATCACCTTGTAGATTTTGACTCCCCCGCTCACTTTCTCCACCCCGCCAGAAACTCTCCTGCTCAAGAACTGTGGACGAAGAAACTAAACTTAAATGCATTGAACGTATGTAGTTAACGTTCAAGAGAACCGTGAGGAAGTTCATGAGCAGAATGATGCTCGAACCTTTATGGTGAAGAATATTTTTTAAAAAAAAAAAATTTTTATTGGTTTTTAAAACAAACATAAACAAACAAAACATAAAAACATCAAGCCATCTTCCATATATATATACATACAGTGTGCCAGTTGGTTTACAAATTGTTTTGTGCTTCCATTTCGTAGTCTTCAATTACATTGTATATAATCTCGTATTTTCAATCAAATATTAAATACATTAATATCATTATTAATCAATCATTTGACTATACCTTTATTCATTCATGCTTTATAAAATAATCATATTTTACTTAATTTGTTTTATGACAGTTCATATTATCATCCCAAATCTATCCTAAAATCATTTTGTAGATATAAGAAAAGAATACATCTTTATATATTTATTATTTTCTAAAAGTCTACATATTTCATTACTTTATTTTATTGTCTAACCATTGATAGAATAGATCCCAAATTTTATAAAATTGTTTATCCTCTTGCTCTCTAATTTCAAATGTCAATCTACTCATTTCAGCACATTCCAATATTTTCTTAATGATTTCCTCCTGTGATGGTATTTTCTCATTTTTCCAGTTTTTAGCAAATACAATCCTAGCCGCTGTTAATACATTTACAATCAGGTATTTCAAGTCTTTACTATATATTTCAGGTAAAATTCCCAATAAAAATATCTCTGGTTTCAAATCTATATGGTTTTTTGTCATTTTTTCCAACCACGTGTGGATTTTAGTCCAGTATTTTTTAGCGTCTGCACAAGTCCACCATATATGGTAATATGAGCTAGGTATCTGATGACATTTCCAACATTTTTTGGATTTATTCTTGAAGATTCTTGCTATTCTTGTCGGAGGGAAAATGCCACCTGTAAAACATCTTATACAAATTTTCTTTATATGCTGTTGACATTGTCATTTTATAATTTTGAGACCACAATTTTTGCCATTTCTCGAGTCTAGATCAATCCCATATCCAAAATTCTTCCCCCAAGCAATCATAGTTTCTTTAACTTGTTCTTCTAGTTTAATTTCTAATAAATATCCATACAATTTTTAATCACCTTTTCATCAGTACCTATCAAAATCGTATCTAGGTCAGTCAGTTTATCATAGAAATCTTCTGTTTTAGAATCTTTATCATACCTTGAATGTATTTGCGCATATGAAAACCAATTCATCTTTATACCTTGTTCCTCTAGTTTTTGTATAGATTTAAGTTCACCCTTTTCATTCAATATTTCCCCATATCTAACTGTTTGTTCCTTTTTGTATATTATAGGATAAGAAAATGCTTCAATAGTCGATAGCCAGACTGGAATTTTCAAATAACATTGTCTTTTAATCTTCTCCCAGTTTAACCACAGAGTCTCCCGTATATAATGTCTTCTAAAGTACCCCTGTGTTTTAGTTCCTTTATACCATAGAAAAGCATGCCACCCCAACAACAGATCATGTCCTTCTGATGTCAACAATCTAGTATTTCTTAATGTTATCCATTCCTTAACCCACATCAAATTTGTAGCTTGATAATACAACTCCCAATTAGGCAAACCAAATCCTCCTCTTATTCTAGCATCTTGCAAAAGTTTTAACTTTATTCTCACTTTCTTACCTTGCCATATATATTTCAACACAATTTTATTTAAATCTGCAAAGTAGTCTTTTCCAAGCCGAATTGGAATTGTTTGAAACAAATGTAAAATTCTGGGTAATATATTCATCTTGATTGTTGATATTCTCCCTATTAATGACAGTTGTAAATTTTCCCATTTCTCCAAATCTAGCGCTATCTGCTGTTTAAGTTTGATATAATTATTCTCTTTTGGTGTACTACATCTTGCTGTCAAGTATATCCCCAAGTACTTGATCTTATTTGTGACCTGAATTTTCAATAGGTCCACCAGTTCTTCCTTTTGTCTTGATAGCATATTCTTTGTCAAGATCTTTGTTTTGTCTTTATTTATTTTCAAACCGGCCACCTTCCCATATACCTCTATCTTTTGTATCAGTTTTAGTGCTGTTTCTAGTGGGTCTTCTAAGATAAAAACCAGATCATCTGCAAATGCTTGCAACTTAAATTCTTCCTT